ATAGGGGCTATAAGAGAGGGGTACCTGGGTGAAGGAAGATGATGAGGAGGAGGATTAGGTGGGGGAGGATGAGGAGGAGTGAGGAGAGGCGATGATGATAAGGAGGAGGGGGGGACGAGGAGACATGCTAACAACGACGACGACGCTCTCAAGGGCGACGATCACGATGTCGACGACGACGATGATGACGACCACGACCACGACCATGATGATGCTGATGATGATGCTGCTGCTGCCGATGATGATGTAGGTTATGATGATGCTGATGCTGATGCTGATGCTGATGTTGATGCTGATGCTGCTGATGATGATGATGATGATGATGGTGCTGATGATGCTGATGATGCTGATGATGACGCTGATGCTGATGATGCTGATGCTGATGCTGCTGATTATGATGTTGCTGATGCTGCTGCTTCTGATGATGACGACCATGATAATGGTCCTGATGCGTATCATGTATTATTATGATGAGGAGGAGGAGCGAGGAGGAGCGAGGAGGAGGAGGGGACGGATGGTATGCAGAGTTTGAGGAGGAGGAAGAGGAGGAGAATGGAGGAGGAGGAGGAGGAGGAGGAGGAGAGGAGGAGGTTGGAGGGAGGATTCGCGAGGACGGAGGTGGGCGAGGAGAGCGATGAGGAGGAGCGAGAGAGGATGATGAGGCGGAAAGGAGGAGGAGGAGGAAGAGGTGGGAGGAGGAGGAGGTTGGGAGAAGTTGCGAGGAGAGGTGCGAGGAGGCGCGTGAGGAGGAGCGAGGGAGGAGGAGGAGGGCGGGAGGAGGAGGATGAGGAGAGGGCGGAGGAGGAGGAAGAGGAGAGGGAATGCGGAGGAAAGATGAGGAGGAGGAGGAGGCAGGAGGAGGAGGAGGAGGATGATGAGGGCGAGAGGAGGAGCGAGGAGGAGGAGGAGGAGGAGGAGGGGGAGGAGGAGGAGGAGGAGGGATATTTATATATATATATATATGTACATATTTATACACATATATATACATATATATATATATATAGAGAGAGAGAGAGAGAGCGAGGGATAGAGAGAGAGAGAGAGACACAACAAAAAGCCTAAGTCACCCCCATGGTCGTGAGGAGGACCGCGCTCCGCGCGACGCGGCTTTGGCTGGAGAGCTGCCCTCCTGCAGGGGGTGTCTCGGGAGAGGCCGCGGCGCGACGCGGACCGCCGCGCCGCGCCTCGCGCGGCGCGCTGCGCGCCCGCTGGGCGCCCTGGGAGAGCCGGTCGGACTCGAGGCTGCCCCGAACTCCATGATGCGCGCCGCCGTTATCGTGTCCGGGCTCGCCGCCTGCAATGGCCTCGGCGCCCAGATGGCCTGGCCCCACAAGAGCAGCGCGGGAACAAGCTCTGGCCAGTTGCAGGCCAAGGAGGACTCCTCCCTCCCTCCTCGGTCCTTCCTCCCCCCTCCGCCCTCCCCCCTCCGCCCTCCTCCCGCCTGCCTCTTTCCTCCTCGCTCCCCTCTCCTCCACAATCAATTGCTCAACATGGCTACTGCACCCTTCTCTCCCGTGGTGCTGGTCATTTTCCCCGCGGGTGCCGCATGATCGTTTTAAACAGGATTGCCCAGAGTTGGCTCCCAACGAGTTACGGTCGGACCGAGGATAGACCGAGGTCGGTGCGGGGAGGGTAGCACAATATTCTTCTTGCTTGTTGGATGTTCTTGTGCATCCGGGGGGAGGGTACCCTCGAGTGATTGTATGGTTTTGGGGGGTTCTGGCCGGCGGAGGGTCTCGTGCTCTTGAAGGATGCTCTTCTGTCCTAGGTCTGACTGTACAGCGGAAACCCATGCCAAGAAACACCCTGCTTGCCTCCAGGGTTTCCTGGGTTCCTTAGGTTTCTGTGGTGTTGCTGTGGAAGGCGCGGCGTTCCCACACCAGAAAACCAGTGGACGTCCTGGGGTCTCAGGGTTGGGTTTCACGTGGAAGGTTTTCTTGTGGTCGAGCTCCTTCGGCCTTCCAAACGCGCGGATCCCGCTGCAGCGCTGGCCACGCCTCAGGACCGGCACGAGGGGGCTCGGAGGGGCGCCGTCGCCCGGGCGCGGGCCACGCACGTCCGGATCCGATGCCCCCTCCTCGCCGTTCCCGCGCCCCCCTTCCCCCTGGCCCTTCCCCCCTGGCCCTTCCCCCCTCCCCCCCTGGGCCTCCGACGCCTCCCCCCTTCCCCCTGGCCCTTCCCGCCCACTGGCCCTTCCCCCCGTCCTCCCCTGGCCCTTCCCCCCTTCCCCCTGGCCTTTCCCCCTGTCCCTTCTTCTCCCCCCTCCCCCCTGGCCTCCTGACCCTCCCCCCTTCCCCCCCTAACCCCTCCCCGCCTCCCCCCCTCCCCTGGCCCGACTCGTTTCTCCCGCTCCCTCCTGCGCCCGCTGCCCGGCCCATGCCGCGCTTGCTTTCGGCTTTGGTCTCATGCTCCTCTCCCTCCCTCCTCCTAACCTTGATCCTTCTTCTCCTCCTCCTCCTCCTCCTCCTCCTCCTCCTCCTCCTCCTCCTCCTCCGCCTCCGCCTCCTCCTCCTCCCTATTTATGCTCCTCTTCCTCCTCCTCCTCCTTTATCCTCCTTCTTCCTCCGCCTTATCCTCTGGCTCATTCTCTTCGTCTTCTCAAGTGCACAGCTCCCCCTCCTGACTGCGCATCGCACGAAGGGGTCATTTAGGGGTTCCATGTCAGTTTGGACGCCCGTCGGCGGATACAGAAGCATCTGCGCGATGGGAGGGGATGGGTGGGTGGGGTAGGACATCAGATATGGCGCGAGCGCACCTGGCTTTTCCACCCTCCCTTCCTCCTCCTCCCTCCTCCTCCTCCTCCTCACTCCTCCTCCTCCTATCCTCCTCCTCCTCCTTCTCCGCATCTCTGCTCCCTCCTCCTCTCACCCTCCCCCCCTCGCCTCTCTTCGCCCTCCCTCCTCTCTGTCGTCCCTGCCTTCCCTCCCCCCCCACCCCTGTGCCCGCTGCTTCCCTGCTCTCCTGCGCTCCCTCCTGGCCCCTCCATGCTGCCTCCCAAACCCCCTTGTCGCGCCTGCGCAGATCGCTCCCCCTCGATCCTCCTCGCTCCCCCTCGCTCCCTCCCTCCCTGCTCCCGCCGCCCCTCGCTTCTCGCCGCTCGCCTCCCTCCCCCTTCTCCCCCTGCTGCCCCGCCCTCCTTCTCCCTGCGCATCTGTCCCGCCTCGTCCCCCCCATCGTCGCCGCGGTCCTCCTTCTTTTTTCTCATATCGGTACTGCGCTGGAAAATCATTCGAACGTGTAGACCGCCCTGCCTATGCGCAGCTGGCGGGCTAATCATCGCCAGAGGATCGTGCTGCTGATGATGATGCTGATGATGACGATAATGATGATGATGATGATGAGGGTGATGATGATGATGCCGATGCTGCTGCTGATGATGATGGTGAAGATGATGATGATGATGATGATGATGATGACAACGGCGATTCTGCTGATGCTGATGATGCTCATGATGATGTTCATGCTGATGCTGCTGATGATGATTATGATGACTATGATGATGGTGATGATGGTGGTGGTGGTGGTGATGATGAAAATGCTGATTCGGATGATGACGATGAGGATGATGCTGCTGATGATGATGACGATGCAAGTGATGGTGATGATGATACTGATGATACTGATGATGATGCTGATTCTGATTCTGATGATGGTGATGCTGATGCTGATGATGATGCTGATGATGATGACGATGATGATGATGCTGCTGATGACGATGGTGGTGATTATGATGATGATGCTGATGGTGGTGGTGATGATGATGATGATCACGATGATGATGATGGTGATGATGATGATGATGATGCTGATGATGCTGATGTTGCTGCTGATGATGTTGTTGATGATGGTGATGATGAAGTTGTTGTTGATGATGATGATGAGGATGATGCTGATGCTGATGCTGCTGCTGCTGATGATGATGCTGAAGCTGATGCTGATGTTGATGATGTTGATGATGATCCTGATGATGATGAGATGCTGATGATGATTATGATGATGATGATGATGATGATGATGGTGATGATGACGATTATGATGCTGATGATGATTATGATGATGCCGAACATGATGCTCATGATGCTGATGATCATGATGATGATGTTGATGATGATGATGCTGATGATGATGATGACGATGATGATGATGATGATGATGATGATGATGATGATGATGATGATGATGAAGAAGATGACGACGACGACGACGACGACGACGACGACGATGATGATGATGATGATGATGATGATGATGATGATGATGCTGATGCTGATGCTGATGCTGATGCTGCTGTTGTTGTTGTTGTTTTCAGTATTCTCGTTTTTATCATCATTGTTAGTATTCGTATGCGTATTCTAACTATTATACTTGTTAGATTGTTAAACGTTCGTATCGTCACCATTATGAAACCATTACTATTATTGGTATTACTATAGTATTAATAATACTCATACGAACATACATAATGTGACAACGAGGGGGAGGAGGGCGACGACTCTGGCAGCCATCTTGGGGTCTTCTGGGGGCCCTGTTAGTCGCCCGGTTGGGGCTCTCTCGCGGCCCTCTCGTGCCCCTCTTGGGGCGACTGCAGGGGGCCTCGGGGTCCTTCTGGGGTTCTTTCGGCAGGTCTTGGGGCTTTCTTGGGACCCCCATTGGGGGCGTCTTGGGGGCCTTCGTTGGGCGTCTATCAAACGAGGAGGGATGTTCCATTTGCCCCCCCGCGCGATCCTGTCGCCAGTGTTTGTTGGCTGGAGCAGATGCGCGCCGCTGGGTGGCGAGCTCTTGGGTGCCGCGGCGTCGGCCCTGCACCCGAGGGCTCGGTCCAGGGCCCTGCAGCGAGGGTGTTGTGGCGCCGAGGTGGCGTCGGCAGCGCCTGGGCCTTCGCCCCGCGGGTCGACTGCAGCCACGCGAGATCGTCTCCTCCTCCTCCCCTGCCTCCTCCTCCTCCGCCTCCGCATCCTTTTCCTCCGCCTCCTCCTCCACCTCCTCCTCCTCCTCCTCCTCGTCCTCCTCCTCCTCTGCCTCCTCTTCCGCCTCCACCTCCTTCTCCTCCTCCTCCCCCTCCTCCTCCTCCTCTGCCTCCCCCCTCTCGCTCACCCCTGGGAGTTCGAGCATCGAGGTTTTTGAAACGGTGTTTCCCTTTTCGGGCCTCCAGGGGCCGCCACAGAGACCCTGAGACCCCGCAGACCCCCGATCCGAGATCACCTGGGCAATCAAGTGGCCTCCTTTCCGACGTGAGCGCCAGAACAACAACGAGTCATCGAGTCATCGGCGCGTCCCGCCTCCCAGCTCACAGTTTCCTGCTCCTGGCTCCTTCCCTCTTCCCTTCTCACAGATCCCTCCTCCTCACGCTCCCTTCCCCCTCCCCTCTCCTCTCCTCTCCTCTCCTCTCCTCTCCTCTCCTCTGCTCTCCTCTCATCTCCTCTCCTCTCCTCTTCTCTCCTCTCCTCTCCTCTCCTCTCCTCTCCTTTCCTCTTACCTCCTTTCCTCTCCTCTCCCCTCCTCGCCTCGCCTCGCCTCGCGTCGCGTCGCCTTACCTCGCCTCGCCTCGCCTCTCCTCTCCGCTCCTCTCCTCTCCGCTCCTCTCCTCTCCCGTCCTCTCCTCGCTCCTCTCCTCTCTTCTCCTCTCCTCTCCTCTCCTCTCTCCTCTCCCCTCCTCGCCTCTCCTCTCTTCCTCGCTCCTCTCCTCCTCTCTTTCCCCTCTACTCCTCCTCCTCTCCTCCATCCCCTCCCTCCTCTCCTCTCCTTTCCTCTCCTCTCCTCTCCTCTCCTCTACTGTCCTCTTCTCTCCTCCCCGTTCCTCTCCTCTCCTTTCCTCCCCTCTCATCTCCTCTCCTCTCCTCCTCTTTTTGCCCGTCCCCCCCCTCGCTCCTTCCTCGCTTCTCCACCCCCTCATCCGCTTCCTTCCCTCCCTGTTCTCAGGATTCCGACGTGGTAGCCAAGTTCGACGAAGCTTTGAAGGACAGAGAGAGAGAAAGAGAGGGAGACATAGACAACGAATGGGGGTATCTATCTATACGTGTATGTGGGTATATGTATATTTGTAGATCGGAGAGCGAGAGAACGAGAGAGAGAGAGAGACGGAGCGAGACGTAGAGAACGTCAGAGAGAGAGAGAGAGAGGGAGCAGCTGGGCGAACGGCAGCAGTCCGAGTGATAGCAGGGAGAGAAAGAGAACGAGAGAGAGAGAGAGGGAGAGAGAAAGAGAAAGAGAGAGAGAGAGACAGAGCCATAAACAGAGACATAGAGAAACAATGACAGACATATAGATATAATGATATGTATGTAGAGAGAGAGAGAGAGAGAGAGAGATTGAGGGAGACATATATATATATATAGACATATATCAATAGAAAGAGAGGGGATGAGAGAGAGAGAGAGAGAGAGAGAGAGAGAGATAGAGACAGACAGAGAGAAAGAGGGATAGAGAGAGAGGGGGAGGGAGGGGGAGGCTGATGATTAGGAGGCCGATGAAGACGATGACGAGGAGGCGGACTTGAACGAGGAGCCGGCCGCGCTGTCGGAGGAAGTTGGCAGATTATGTTGATGATGATGCTGATGATGATGGCGACACGATGATAATGATGATGAGGAGGAGCAGGAGGAGGAGGGGGCAGGCGGAGGCGGAAGAGAAGTCGAAGGAAGATGATGGGGGACTGGTCGCTGCGCCACGGCAGGAGAATTCGCCAGACGAGGCGCTGAAGCTTGGGGCGGTAGGCGGGGGCATGGACAGCCCCGACCACACCATGAGCGGTCGCAAGAGCAAGAACGGCGGCAAGGCCGAGCCCGACTGGGTCGGCTACCAGGCAGCCAAGGCCGAGCTGCAGGACGCGTTGGGGAGGGCAAGTGTCGCCCGCAGTTCGGGGATGGCAATGACGACGATGGTGCTGCTGCTCCTGCTACTAACGCTGCTGATGCTGCTGATTGATGCTTGGGATGATGATGACGATTGCCCTAACGACGACGATGACGACGGTCCAGATTACGTGGATGACGATCATGCTGCGGATACTGATGCGGAGGAGGAGGATGAGGACACTTACACTACTGCGGATGATGTTGTTGATGACGACGGTTATGACGATGGTAATGAGGTTGAGGATGCTGATCGTGATGGTGACGATGGTGGTGGTAGTGGTGGTGAGGATGCTGGTGATAATGAGGCTGACGAGGATGATATTGATGCTGCTTCTGATGGATAAGGGCACCGAGTGCATGGGGGAGGACCGGGTGGGATGACGATGATGATGATGATGATGATGATGATGATGATGACGATGATGATGATGATGATGATGATGATGATGATGATGATGCTGCTGCTGCTGATGATGATGATGATGATGATGATGATGATGATAATGATGATGATGCTGCTTATGATGATGCTGATGATGAGGATGCTGTTAACGCTGCTGATCATGACGATGCTGCTGCTGAGGATGACGACGACGCCGATGATGATGATGATAATGATGATGATGACAATGATGATGATGAT